ACACGCGTGTCTACTGTATGTAGACCTCATGTTAGCACACTTAATTAAATATTTAACCACTCATTCATCGCTCAGTCTGTCATTTAACAAAAACAAAAGAGACATTCCCCCAAGCCTGCCTGCTGTCTGCACTCTTTCACAGCCTGAAAACATATCGCATTAATGGAAAAAATGAAGTAATCTCAGTGTCCAATCAGATTAGAGCAGCAGCTGAGCCTCTCTCTCACTCAGTCACTCATCCGGACTCAGAGGTGAAGTATTCCGGAATCCAGGAGCCTTAAGCATAGCTGGGATTCCTGCAGACAAACACTAAGAGCATTCAGAAGGAGCCGGGTGCTCGCTGCATGTGTGACAGGGGAGCGAGGCGTCTCTCCAGACCTCCAGATTGGGGTCAGAGTTGCTTGGCAGCTTCCCAGATGGCACTGCAGGTTTTAGATGGTGTTTTTAGGGGGGATTAAATTTCGATATCCCTTTAGCTTTACTTTATTTATATCAGGAAATTCTGTTTGCTGATTATATTAGCAAAGAAATGACACAGTTTAACTTTAAGCCACATCGTGATTTCAGTTAATGAATTTCAAGGAATTTTGGAATCATAAAAATCTAATGGGTTACAACGGAGCTTTGTGTTTGCTGGTCCAAACCCACTGCATGCAACAAAACACGTACAGAGCCCAATATGTGCCAGATACTAAGCAATACCTTAGTGGCAAAAGTCAAAGATAAACGCAAGTCACTTTTGTTATATAGAACAGTTAAAAAATGGGGATAAAATATTTGTTCTGTAGTCTGAATTATATTCATATTAGTTGGATGCTGGAATTCTGAACCTTTTAAAGTGATTAAATAATTGAATTATTTTCTGTTGTTAGATTACTGTACTTATTTATACTGTTTAGACAGCTACAGTATATGCTATAGGTCAGTGACAGAAAAATGTTCAAGATGATGAAAAGTAGAAATATTTTAAAACTGTAGTAAGAAATGCACTATTTGTATTCGTATTGGTTTCATATATTTTTGAAAAAAATAAATAAATCTGAAAGCGGTATAACTGCCAAATAAAAAGTGCTAAAATACTTTACTTTCTCATGAATCATTCATTTTAAAAGTTACTTTCAAAGTTTCAAAAACACATTTTTTCTTGTTAAAAACAAAATATCACGAACGCTCAAATCACTAATACATTTTTTAATATTGTTTTATTAAGGTTATTCCATGTTGTTAATTCCTTTATTAAACAAATCTAAATAGATTTAAACCTACTGTTTTGGGGCTTTCTTGTGACATATAAAAACATAATGCTTTCCTGTATATTGGCTACACAATGACTGATTTGGCAGACGTGAGTTTTTCAAAAAATAATGACTAATACGTTTAGTACAACATTAATAATATACATTAATAAAAGACTGTTAACATTGTAAAGCCTTATAATGAGACCGGTCAGTTAAGCCATGTAAACACTTCCGATTACAAGCCACACAAAAACTATCAATATGAATTGTATGAGAAAAACAGAGCATGGCAGAAAAGGTTTATTCAAGTCTGTATTAATTGCATTGAGTAAATTCATTCATCATTGACCCATATACTAACAGGCAGGCATTCGTATTTGGTTCAGTGGTGTGTTTGTTTATAATGTGTCTGTTTGTGTGCTTCAGGTGGCTATTAAATCTATTAGAAAGGAGAGATTGAGGGATGATCTGGATAGAGCTCACATCCAGAGAGAAATCGAGATCAGTGCCTCTCTAGTGCACCCACATATCATCCGTCTGTATGAGGGTAAATCACATCAACAGTCTCACAACATCCGTGTGTGTGTGTCCAGAGAGATCTTTCTGTGAATGAAATGTGTTGTGTTTTCAGTGTTCGAGAGCAGAGAGAGGATTGTGATGGTGATGGAGTACGCGAGCGGAGGAGAGCTGTATGACTACATTCAGGACAAACAGAGACTGTCAGAGGAGGAGGCCAGACACTTCTTCAGACAGATCACCTCTGCTGTGCAGTACTGCCATAAAGTAAATGAACACTAGTATCTTTTTAAAAACGCACGCCATTCATTCTGTGTATGAGCCGTTTTTCTTGAAAAGGCATTCAACCACAAAATGCTGTTAAATGTATCAAATGTTATTTTGCTTGGTCAACATTTTACCAGCTTGATTGTACCTGAATGTAACATCTTTTAATATATACAATTCTAATTATATTTGTACATTTAGTTATATAGTGTTTTTAATTTACTTTTAACAAATGTGACCCTGGACCACAAAACCATAAGGGTCATAAGGGTCAATTTTTTAAAATTGAGATTTATGCATCATCTGAAAGCTGAATAAATACGTTTTCCATTGATGTATGGTTTGTTAGGATAGGACCATATTTGTCCAAGGTACAACTATTTGAAAATCTGGAATCTGAGGGTGCAAAAAAATCTAAATACTGAGAAAATCGCCTTTAAAGTTGTCCAAATGAAGTTCTTAGCAATGCATATTACTAT